ATCCATGGTCTGGCATGAAAATGGATGTTCCAGGACCAGAGAGTCCCGGCACACTGCAGGGGAGTGGGAGCCCGGGAGCTGGCGCGCAACTCAGTTGGGCTGCGAGGGGGGAGTCCAACCTCTTTATAATCTTACTGAATACAGAAGCCAGTTTTCACAACTATAAGAATAATGTAAAGATGACAATCTGTAGGACAGTGTGTAATGGAATTAACTTGTCTAGAAGTTTTCTTCAAGATAACTTAGCCATCATCACAGCACTGGAAAGTATAAGGTAATTATTCTTCTCCAAGTACTCAAACAGAAAACATACTTTTGTGAAAATCTCTCTTTTCTTTCTAGAAAATACAAGTCAAAGGGCCAATGGCCTTTTTAATCAACTAAATTAAGATCAGAAAGATTACTGATAATTACATTCTGATACCTATCACTAAAGAGATAAAACACAACTTTGTTCACAGTAAAGCATAACATTCCAAACAAATGTAACTTGAGTAAGGTGGACAAATTACCGGTAATACATCAGTTTTCATTGGGCCTTATATAGCAAGACAATCAACGCCAACTAGAACAGAGAGAACTAGAACAGAGAGAACAACTGATTTTTCAGTTTGATGACTGTTTGAATGTTTTTAAAAAACTGGTTTGGGTCTGTTCTAATGTGGTGATTCAAACCTGGGTCTTTCAACACTTCAACTAAGTACTCAAATCACCAGGCCAATGATTATAAGGTGGGTAAGGCATAGCACTACCGCCTCTTTCTCCCATTTTCCTGTGAATGGCCGAAACTGTGTGCGTTAAATTTGCAAATATTTTCAGGTCAACTAATACTATTCATCAAAAAAAATTTCCACCAGCTCTACTTAAAACAAATTTTAAAATTGGCAGAAGTTGTTACTGATTCTCTGCCTTTTACTTCTAGGAATGCACCAGAGATGCCAAGGAAACAAGAGGCTGCTGGTGAAAATCCAGTTGGAAACAACAAGCACAAATTACAACACTGACCTGAATTTTCCTTGAACAATCCTTCTGAATACTTCTGTGACAGAGCTACAAATGATTGGTCCGTTTCCACCCAGCTTTGCCTCAGAACATCTCATAATCTTATTTACAAAGTGAACATCAAGTTTAAAAAAAACCCTAAGAACCTGTCAGAGCCAGATTCCGATAAACAAACAAACAAAAAACCACACCTGAAAAGACAAAAATGATGGTAGATTCAAAATCAACTTGGGTATCCAACCCTGTACTATAAAAGATCGCCGCACTGTCAAACAAAAGATGAAAATCCTCACAACAGCAATTATTTAAACTAACCTCGAGGGAAACTGTAATTCTGACCTAATTTTATGTATGTACTATTATACATGATAAGTGGAAATTATATAAGACTAAAATCTAGATACATAAGGATTTGTTTTATAAATAAAATATGCATGCACACATATTTTCTGTTTTAAATTAACCAAAAGAAATACATTAAATAAAGATAGCACGTCAAGAAAAATACAAACATAAAATAATTAAGTTGTAAAACATGTATGCTAACAAGAAATATGATATAATAGAGCAGAAATTAAAAAGTATCATTCCCAATACAGTTGATACCTTATCATTACAGCTCAATTTTTGAGTTCACAGGATGCTACATAATCTTCTAACAATCTATAGTGGCTGTTCCAATAAGCACTTAGTATTTTATACTTGGGGGCTGTGTCTACACTGCACCCCTTTTCCGGAAAAGGGATGCAGATGAGACAAGTCGGAATTGCAAATGAAGCAGGGGATTCCTCTTAAAATCAGGAATAAGGAACCTTTCGGAAAAGGCTTTATTTTCCGAAAGATCCCGTCTAGACTGGCGCTTTTCTCCGGCAAAGCCCCGAGCCGGAAAAAAGCGGCAGCTATGTTTATACAAATGAAGCGGGGGATATTTAAATCCCCCACTTCATTTGCAATTCCAACTTGTCTCATCTGCATCCCTTTTCCAGAAAAGGGGTGCAGTGTAGACACAGCCAAAGAGTTTTTATTGGAGGGTGCCAAGAGCATTTTGTGTCAGTGATATGTGATCTAATAGTTTCTTCTGGACACTTCCATTTCTCAGCTCAGGTCATTTTTTCAGGTATATCACTGAATCTTTAGTATAAAATTCGGCTTTTTTATACAACCAGTTGGTCTCAATCCAGATACCCTGCACGCCTCAACTATGTTTGTCTCCCATTAAATAAGCAGACTCTAAAGCTCAAGATATGCCCTCTGCTCCTGAGAGAATTTTCCCCTTAATCCACTTTCCCCAAGCCTCTCACCCCAACAGGTGCCCTTTAGGGAGGACAGGAGAGGCTGAAACTCCCCTCTCCCATTTGTACGGAATATTTTTGGCTGTTACCTCTCGTTCCCTGACAAAGGGGAAATGCAGTTTGCTGCATTTCTCACTCTGGTTGGGAGACACAGGAGGCACACAAACCTGAACCTGCCCCAGCTGGGGGACATGCACCCCTCCCCCAGCTGTGCCTGCTGGAGCTGCAGAGGCCATGAGGAGCCACTTCCCACCTGGCCCAAAGCTACAGCAGTCAGAGGGCTGGAGTAATCCTCTCTGCCTCGGAACAGCCTGCATACTGAACCACTCATCCTCAGCTCCACCCCAGAGCAATGATTTAAATGGAGAAAAACAAAAATGAATTAAGGACCCAAACAATGCTGGATAAATCTTCTAGTAAATTGTAATGAAAAAGACATCTTGACCCTGCTAATACTGAATATTAGCTGCATGAGAACAAGACTGAGAGGCTAACTTAATCCAAATAAAAAGCCACACTGATATTATCCAAGGACTATGGTGGAATGATGTTTGGTAAAAACAGATTATACTGGAAAATAAGGAATCAAAACTTAGTGTTGGATATTACACCTATTTGGTGGACAAAATAATAAGAGGACCACTACCCATCACTCTCTTTTGGGGTCCTTCAAAAGAGAGACTTTATGCAGGGAAAGAACAGATTTAGGAAACTGAAGCAAGTATCATTATGGCTGCCAGCCATATCACCTGCTGGGACCTTTGGTTTTCACATCCTAATTTTGAGTGGTGTCCTGACCAGATTGGGCCAAAGAGACAGACCCAGATAACACTGCCACCTCTACTGGCTCCATCTGAATCCCAAACACAACCCTGGATGAAATGGGATTAGACTTTACCAACAGTAACAACAACTACGCCAGCCCATCTCAACTTTTTCTCTATTACCCAAAAGAACAGTTATCACCAACTTTGATACCAAAGACAGACTTGTCAGACAATGGTGTTTTTACTTCTTAAACTCTCTCCAACTAACAGGAAAGGAATCCAGAAATGTAGTTAAAATTAAAGCCTTACTTAATGTGATACATTTAAAATGCTTTAGCTGTTTTTCCTTTTTTTTTGTATCTTTCATAAAAGTTTAAAAAGGATGTGTCATGATACTAAGCAGAAGGGGTGTTGGAATAATTTGTATATTAAAGTGCTGAGAGACACTGAACCAGTGCGTACACTCTGCGTATAATGGAAACCACTTCAACCTGGGAGTGAGTCAGCATTGCCAACACCCCGTTTTCTGGCACCACCAAGGAGTGAGTTAGCATTGCCAACACCCCGTTTTCTGGCACCTATGCTAAGCATGCTAAGGTCTCTATATCAAACCCAAAACACTGTTTAATGTTGCATATTAAAAATATTTATAACACTGTTAACATTTTTTACCTTTGAGATTAATACAATGTACCTTGAGAGGAACACCACCTAGCAAAGACCACAATGAAAATCTGTGCTATGTTTTCTCTACATACAACACCTATGCTTCTTACATGAAACAGGATAGTCTCCTTGGGCAATGTCTGCAAAGTACCCTGTAAACAAATTCTATCTCAAAACACCAGAGAAAGATGGCTACAAACTATTTAGCACAGTGAATAAGGTTAATCTACTGGACAAGACAAATTCCAGCCCTCTTCCCGGAAAAAAATAATACCCTGCAAACAAAATCTCAGTATGCATGCACACCTCTCATTTTAATCTAGTAAGCAATACACATTGCCTGCAAGTGAGAAATATGCCTAAATATAATTCTAAACATTTAAAAACATGTATTTTATTATACAGCGATCATAACACTAAAGACACTTACAAGCAAATATTTAAGAGGTGGATACAAAGCAATTACCATACAACATTCACTTTTGAGAAGTGCCAGCTTTTGAGTACTAAGAGCAATTTAAGTTGTTTGATACTTCCCTGTGCCCAATAGGTAAAGCAGGTAAAGCAGAAGTAACATGAAACAGTAAGAGAATATTTAGCCCTAAGCATGACCTCTCGTCCACCTAATGTCACTAAACAGGATTTTAATTTAAAACAGCTCTTGGACCCAGTATGTATATAGGTGCTGGCAAACCTTCTCTGCACCCACAACAGTTTTGCCAGCTGCTACCATTCCATGCCACCATTCTACTGACCTTTCTATACTGTGGTTGAAATGCAACAGTGGCACAACTTCGCCACTATAGCACTTCAGTGTACACACTATCTATGTAAACAGAAGGGGCTCTCTCATAGGCGTACCATCTTCCTGAGAAGTGGTACCTAGACTGGCAGAAAAATTCTTCTATTGATCTAGCCTACTTTACAGCAGGAGTTAGGCTGGCTTAACTACACTTCTCAGAGATGTGGATTTTTCACTCCTCTTAGTAACGTAGCTGGATTACCGGTAACCTCACTTTTCAGTGTAGACCAGGCCGAAGATCTGCTAATGCCCAATAACCTATTCCAGTTCAGGTAACCCCACATAGCACAGGAAATGCATCTAAATCAATCCTGACCAAAGATCCAGTACAAGGCTTCTCTAGGGGACAACTGTAAATCATACAGCAGCTTTGCAGGACAGACATATCTCTTCTGAAGACTAGTCCAAGACCACCAAATAAATGACTACATATGCCTTTTTTAAAAAGTAGTATTTTCACTCATGACTTACTCCAGGCTTTGAATCTTCATCTCCAGAGGTGAGAAGCTGGTGTATTAATTAGCCTCCAAAACAGAAACTTAAAGGATTCTAAGGCATAAAAATAAGAGCTGAACTTCAGAACTGACACTATTTGGAAGAGTCCACCCTGAACAGAAATGCCAAGTATCACTTCATGCCACATTCCTGACACCTACACTGCTGGACTGCAACAAACTGCTCCATACATGCAGAGCCCAGCACTCACACTGACCAGTCTGGGTTTAAATACTTGCCTTAGAATGAAACCACCTCCTAGAACAGGGGTGGGCAATAAACAGCCATGGACCAAACACAGTTTGCCACGGTTAGCCTCTTGCAGACTGCCAAATGCTTTGTTTACCTGAGCCTCTGGACTCGCGAATCCTGTTGGCTGTGATCTATTGTTCCCAGACAACGGAAGCTGCAGGAATCAGTGGTCCAGCCTGTACCTCGCCCTGTTGCTCCCACTAGCTGGAAATGGCAAACCACAGCCAACAGGAGCTACGAGCAGCAATACCTGCAGATACTCAGATAAACAAAGCATCTATTGGACTGCAAAGGGATAAACTTGGTGAATCACATCCACCCTATGGTAGAGATGTTAAATTTCGATTAATCAGCTGATTGAGTAGCCAATGGAATTTCCATTGACTACTCAATTAGTCGATAAGGGGAGCACTCACTATCCCACTGCACCTCTCCATTTGAAATGTACAAGAGCCACCCACAGCTCTGCATCAGCAAGGAGCAAAGCATTCCCTGCTGACAGAGATTCCCCTCTGTGCCTCTTCCTTTGAAATGTACAAGAGTCACAGGTGGCTCTGGTACATTTCAAAGGAAGAGGAGCAGCAATGGGACCAGCCTGAGTGGGACTGTTTCAATCCCCGCTTGCACCATTTCCCAAATGCCACCTGCCTCCCCAGCCCCCCCATGGAGACAGTGCTGGGGGGGGCAGGGAAGGGGAGAAATGACTTAAGCCAGCTCCCTCCAGCACCAGCTGGTGCTCCACCCCTCGCTGCTTCTCTCTGATAGAGGCAGCAAGTTTGGGAGGGAAGCAACTAGTCAAGTTCCTACTCGACTACATGATGAGCATTTGTTTACGGGGTAGTCAGCTAGTTGACTAGTCGCTTACATCCCTACCCTGTGGGACGCTTATTGTCCATTCGTGTCCTAGAAGTTGAATTTCTGAGAACCTCAAAGAACTTTGTAGGAGGGAGAAGGGGAAATCCGAAGGTTTACAAATGTGCATTCATTTTTTAAATCTTTGTTGTTGTTGTTAGAACACTGCTTATTATGTTATGAAACAAACATTGGGTTATTTCAAGTTCTATAGTCCCCCATCCAAGTATTTTTAGTTATTTTACTTTTGAAGTCGGGAGAGTAAACTCACTCAAAACTACTGTCTCGGGGACTGACAAAAAACTCGTGGAGGGAGAAGCTCATAGTCAAAGATGATCAAATGAGTATCTAGACAGCACTTCAATTCACAGATCCAAAATCATTCTACAAAGCAATGCAGATGATATTACTCCCATTTCACATGAGAAAGGAGGGAAACAAGAGAGACACGGACTCAGCTAAAGTCAGCATGCAGCAGTCAGGATTACACCTCTCAAGCGCTCAACTCCCAGTCGCAGGAACCCCAGATTATACCTACCATGTGATACTGCACCTACCCTCTTCCCCGGCAGAGGCCCCTCAGCTAAACCACCTGCCCCTTCCCCTAGTAAACACCCTGCAAATAAACTGCTTGCTTTTTCTCCCAGCAAAGACCCCCCCCCAAACCGCCTG